CATTTAAAATTTGCCTCGAGGCGACTCTTACAACATACCTCACACTAGCGCCGTAAATACAGTAAACAAAGGAGGCTTATTGCTGCTACCGCCGCTACTCGCCATGAGACGACACGACGTTCTGACAGAAACGTGTCGTTGTAGTCAGGCAAGGTAACGCAGAGGAACAAGAGAGCAGTGAATTGAAGGAGGGGTCGAGAAAAGGTGGTAAACAATTAGATAATGGGAAAGTTTAAGATTTAAAACTATGCATCATCTCTAATTAGTCTCCCAGTCCATAAAAAAAGTTCTCCGTATTAGAGTTAAGACATTGCTTTGTGTCGTAATGAATCGCTGGAGGGTATTAGGAGGAACACCCCATGGTCACAAGTGAGTGTGGAACTAACTCATGAAAAGACCTGGTACAATGTTTTTTGAGGAGGTGGTCACCATTTGTAGCTGTGTCGTCTGAAGGTGGAGGAGGCAAGCGCTGTTCCCACTCAGCTACTGACATTAATTCCATTGAACTCTTACAAGAATACATAAGTAACATAAATACATGAGAAAATTAAGATTATACTTACAGTTTAGTTACATGTTGTCAAAGGCGAGTCTCTCATTATGGGGTGATGTACGGAACTAACACACACACACCTGTAGGAAGATAATTACACAATAATTAATATGTATAAACAAAATGGCTGAAAAATCGACTTTCTTTAAAACTGTGACAGCAATGGTCTAAATTTAAACCTTTGAGGACGAAGGTTTATCTGTAATTTAGTGGGTAAAACTGTCATGCCAGGTTATATATTGATGCTGCGTGTTAGCGGCTACACAGGTGAACACTGAATTTGGTGATGGTCATATCGTGTGTGTGTGTGTGTTCTGAATATGATACGGTTGGGAGTGAGGTTGACAGTATATGTTTTTATAATCATAACAAACGTTTACAGTTAAAAATACCGCAACAATGCCTCTGTTGACTTTTCATTCTGTTTCGATAAAAAAAAGTTGTCATTTTGGGTGAGTTTACAATGACAGACTCTTTATAAAGCCTCGTCCCACCACCTGTTTTTATTTACTTTTTCCAGCTAGATATTTAGTTCACTATGTTCTCATTTACATTTTTCCTCGTTGGGTAATTTTCACATTAGGCTTATTTCCTCACATACTACGTGTACTGACCTGTACACGAATATCTTATGTGATAACCTTTGTACTGTATATACCTGTAGTAAACAAGTGGGGCGTGGTCAGGTAAGAGAGTGTTAGCAAAGGTCAGCAACTATAGTATTTTTATTCGCTATTTCTTATTAAATTCAATTAGTGTGTTTACGTACTTGTGTCGTTCAGTGTGATACTCTGACCTTTACATCCATCTAATGGGGAAGAGTTAGTGGCTAGTTAATATTATGAGTAAGAGATATTATTTATTTATAATGGATGTAAGGGTTAAGGGTTAAGAGAATTTTTAAAACAATGATTATTATCCTAAATTCTCACTCTTCTTAACCCTATCCCGTTTGGTTACGTTTATACGGAACATCTTGTAACACAGAACTACATCTCGTTAAGGTGAAGAAAGCAGAGGATTTTTCAGCGCTAATCTATAGACGAAAAATATTCCTCGTGTCTCCAGCCGTCAAGTTAAGATTTATTTACAGAGTTCCATCATCAACGAAGTCGTAAAATAAGGTGATTTACATAAACTTCTAGACAGTTTTTAACTCACTCTACAGCTAAGTCCCTAAAGTTTGCTGGTTAACGTCCAGGGCAACCCTAGTTCACCCAGCTGTGAATGGGTGCCTAACTTTGAAATCGGGAAAGTGAGAGCTGTCTAGTACAGTGCCTGCCATAATAATTCTTTGTATACAGAAAAAGGGTTTTAAGCTTCAGTGTGCTGTGTCCACACCGCCCCTGACGGGTTATCAGGCCTATGGAACCTACTTTCACTTTTAACAGTTATCTACTTAAAACACTTTTCACTCACAGCCCATAGCATCATGTCCTGAACCAAGTAGCCTTGAATTAAGTTTACATTATGTCTTCTTAACAATGTCCGAGACACTATTATGTCATGACCTATCTCTTCCCAAGTGTGTGGGTGTGTGTGTGTGTGTGTGTGTGTGTGTGTGTGTGTGTGTGTATAATAATAATAATATATATAAACGGTTTATTAATAGAGTTGCAGCCGGTGGCTGAAAATATACATACTTACATTTGATTTAGACATAATGATATAATATGCATTGAATACATTTACAGGGCTGTACAGTACATAAATCAGGAGTTGTTTATTATTTTAACAATAGATGGGATGGTGCTGTTCTTATATCTATCGGTGCGGGCTGTTATGGGCTTTTGTTGTAGTGGCGGACTGCGCGAGGTGGGTGGGGGGCTGCAGGTGGAGGTCACTGAGGGATGGCATTTCCAGGGTGGAGAGAGCGTTGGTGTAGCCGGAGTAGCTGACATTGTGTGTGTGTGTGTGTGTGTGTGTGTGTGTGTGTGTGTGTGTGTGTGTGTGTGTCTTATATAGAGCAACCTATATATACTTTATAATAAATAGACTGAAGCATGAAAACAATACAGAAGTGTAAAGACCAAAGTTCAGGTGAAGATAGAACTTTCTATTCCTCCTGATAATTAGAGTGTGTGTGTGTGTGTGTGTGTGTGTGTGTGTGTGTGTGTGTGCGTGTGTGACACCCTCCACAATAATTAATCCCTGACCTGCCCCCAGCGAAAGAGACGACCAAATGAATTAGTGAACAGCGCCTCTAAGGTCATTATGAAAGGACAACTATTATCGTTTACATTATAATGCCTTCACTTTGAGTCATGTTTTGTCTCCGGTCACAATTTAATAAGTGGGTTGGCCTTATTTAGGGAAAGATTGGTGGTGCTTTAAGGGCATAATGTTAAAAGTGAAAGTTAATGTTTAAATGCTCTTTAAACAAGCTTAAGCTATGATATGGTGTTAATCTTTCGATAAAGAGGATTTAATATAACAGTAGCGTAATGTCTTCTGACGGATGGTTAAATCACTCATTGATAACAGAGTAAACCTTTTCAGGGTGATGGTTTAACATAACAATGGTTTAATGTATTTATCATGATTGAGTAATTACTGACACGGTGGTTTAGAGTATGCTGAGGAAGGTAGTGTAAACCATCGTCCTCACCGAGCTAGAGAGGTGCGGTGTTAAAACCTATAAACTATACACTACGAACGCTTAAACCATCGTCCTCGGTGTGTAAAAAGACGTAATGTGAAAATATAAACACACACACATTACACAAGTCTGACCTTCCGAGAATTGTATGTAGATAATGTAAACAAAGCTTCTCAGTCTCTTCTGTGACGACTCTTGGCCGAGAAATATGTAAAATGCGTAAAGGAAAACATGAACAGAACAACGCTGAATACACCATTGGGAAAATAATGACCTGTGTACATTTGACTTTCAGGAAGTCAGAGGTGAAAATAGGAGAGCTTAATGTTTTATTGTCTTGTAGTGAGCATGAAGGGTTTGACGTAGAGTTCAGGTTATACAAATGGACGGCTGTAATGAACCAGGCACTCACCTGACACCATGTTCTCATATTAGATAATGTGTATTCATACCTGACATGGTGCATTTAGTTACAGTGTTTACGGTGCATTTACAAATTTACAGTGATCACAAAATAACAAAACATAATATAAATTAGACATATAATAACCATATAAATAAATAAAGAAAAATGCACGTATGTAATGCCAATCTTACGTCAACAAATCATTTATAATATGGCCAAATGTAGAGAAAGGCGGACATTACCAAACGTAATTAAACAAATGCTACATCATATGCTAAATAGAAATAAAGTAATGACGTTTACACTGCCAAATGTAAAAAAAAATCAACAGATGTGTAAATTATCAAACACAAATAAACAAGATTCGGCCATTAATAAACCTAAAGTAAATTACAAAAAAAAAAAATCATCTCATCAACTCCAACAACATAGTGCTTCTGCGATAAAACTGCTTGAAAATAAAAACAGAGTTACGATTACTTCCCCAAAAAAGCTAGACTGAATAATAGCTAAGGTTTATGTGAGGTAACTTTTTTTTACGAACCGCTGCTATAGTCGAGCCTGGGTGAGGCGGGGCGTGGCGGGGTGAGGCGGGGCGTGGCGGGGTGAAACGGAGAGGGGCGGGGTGGGATTGTATATGGGGTGTGGGTGGGCCCGGAGGAGGAGGAGGAGGAGGAGGAGGAGGGGGGGGATGTTCTTGGCCGTAAATATAATGATCTTATTTTACATTAGTTTTTCATTTGCTTAATTAATTTCTGTAGTGTTTCATCGTGTTCAGTCCTTTTCTATCATGTCTTTATCTCGTGTTTCATCTTGTGTTTTTTCTTATCTCATGTCTTATCATCTTTTTATCTCGTGTTTATCGCAGTTTTTTGTTATCTCGTGTTTTATCGTGTTTTGTCACGTTTATATTATTTTCGGTCTCGTTTCATCGTGTTCTCCCGTATTTTCTCATGTTCACTCATATCATATCATGTCATGTTCTGCCGTGTGTTAATGTGTTTTGCTATTTTCAGTTGTGTTTTTTTCCCATTTCTTTCATGCTTTATAGTGTTCTCCCGTATTTTACATCTTCCTCGTGTTTTCTCATGTTTTCACACACAAACACTAATACATGTAATTAAGGAGAATATTTCGAACCCGATACAACACGAGGCAACGCGAGAGAAGGCGAGACAACGTGAGAAAACGCGACGAAAGACGACAGAAGCGAGTGAATGCGAAGTAATGTGAGTGAAGGCAAAGACATCACTGCGCTTACTTGGGCAATTCCGTGTGCAGCTGCCGGTGTTTCATTCTCCCACTGATTGGGCTATATGAAGTACTGGGTGCAAACAAGCGCAGCTAATTGTTTGTGTTTCTAAAGAAGTTAACTCAATCTACGAAACATGTAAGTACTTGCAGCCACTGCTATCTTTATTTGTAAACAATCTGCACTGCAGAGCGGATCACCTCTCGGTATGGAGGCTCTGCACGGCCTGCCGAAAATACAGCAGTGCAATAAAGCCCCTTCACCAGCCGGGCGCGCGCTGCGTGGTGAGCATATTATCCAAGTGAACACACCAACTGAGACACTGCCAGAGAACGCGAGACAGCGTGACAGAAGGCGAGACAAAGCGACAGAAGGCGAGAGAACACAAAACAACGCGAGCCAATAGGCCAGAACGGGAAACAACACGAAACCTTATGAAACATTTTATCTGAAGTTTCGTTTCTTCGCTTCTTACATCATAATGTTGGTTGTCATAACTTGACTTCTGGTTCATTTACAAAAGGTGTTTAACAAGCAATGTAACTAACGTGTACAGTATATCTGTCCTGGATGGCGTCTTATTATTAATTAATAATGTTTGTCTCAAAGTTTCTAACCATGAAATAAACTAATGAACGAAATATGTGTAAAGATAACTCGGCAAATACACAATTGAATAAAGTACAGTAATATGAATAAATATATGAGTGGATAAATAAATAACAATGATAATGAATTAATAGATATAATGGGGGAAATCAGGTAGAAGGTAAACATACATTATATTAATAAATAAACACATATGCGAGGTACAAACATACAGTTTTTTGCAGCTTAAAATATGCATGAAAAAAATCTATGAATTCGTCACAATGCTACAACATTCATGTTTCTATCTAGAATGGTTTTCGAGATATGATTTTTCATAATCAGGGAAAGACTTTATGCTTACCCTGTATAATAGAATGAATGAAAATTTAATGATAATACAGTAGTAAGGAAAACTGAAGAGAATATGTCCAGACAAACCTATAACACTGACGAAGAACAAAATATAATATAATGTTCTTGATTGTTATCTCCCCAACAGGCCGTTTCTTCCCCAAACTACCCTACGCTAAGCCTTACTTGGAGGTTCCTAACCAGCACTACAACCACCACCACCGTCAGAACCCCCACCAGCGCTACCATCATCACCATCACTTCCGACAACAGCCACTGCGGTCTCCACATGAGTCGGATCCGCCCATGAAACGCAGATCGAGCTCACACAACGTTGAGAGCGGAGGTTATGTGTTTCGGGTGGGCGGCGATGAGAGTGGCGAGCGGCGGGTTATAGCGGTGAGGGGGAGTGATGCTGTACCCGTGAGAAACGATGATGAAAACTTCCTGGACTCGCCGCAGGAGGACGCGACTCTAGGACCTCCTCCAGGACCCAGCTTTGATCGTAACCTGCCGCGGAATATAACGATACAGACGGGCAAGACGGCCGTCCTGTCCTGCAGAGTCTTCAACGTCAACGACAAGTCGGTAAGTTGTTGTTATTGTTTTTATAGAGAAGGGCAATTTATGTTTCACCTCATGAAGGATTAAATTAATAAATGTTTTCTATGAGCAAATAAAACTCCAATCCTAGTTTTGTTTTAGCAAGTAAAGCGTCTGTTTTCTATACCACTTCACATTTTCTGAGAACGCTCATCTCTTTGTCACGAAAGCTTTCGATGAGAAAACTTTATGGAATAGCAATATAATTATTTTTTTCTGGTTAATATTGACTACTGACCGGCGGACGAGTTATTTGTTTTACTGTTTATATTCTTACTTTAATTTCATCAGTGAGTTCTGATATGATAATCATTTTTTATGCAAATGTTTCGTTTGGTAGATAATTAGGCACCTAGGCGCACACTTCTTTGTCTTCTCGGTGGTAATGCGGCATTGACGTCTCATCCCAGGATGTAAACAGCCAATCATATCGAAGTATTTCAAAGCACTCCGACCCCAGGGTTTGATCAACGCCGATGCTCAGTTTATGCTTCAGAACCGTTCGGTACGGATGGTTGCTTTCACTTCCACAATAAAACGTAAAATTACACCATATCATAGTAAGTTATTTTTGTTTAATATACCGGGGGGTTCGGGGGCGGATCCCCCGTCTAGAAAGTTAGGTAAGGTTAAGTAGGTTTGTTTGGTTAGGTTGGTGAGGTCTTTTAACATCGCTTCTGCTGCTTATTTTTCATAAAAACTAAGGTTAAGTTAGGTTAGGTTTGATTTAAAAACAACCACGTTTTAACACATTTGCACAAACTACGACAGCGCCCACTATAAAACACAGTGAAATTGAGGAGTTCTTATAATCGTTTTCTATAAAAAATTGGCCGCAGTTTAGTCGTCAATAATTACCATTTTCCTGGCCATAATCTCTGCAGTTCCATTGGTATACAGTATAAGGATAATTATTCTGATAAATGTATACATACTGTATAATCTAAACAAACATACAGTACAATTCACAAAATACACACACACACACACACACACACACACACATTGAACTAACCCATATATTTCAGGGTTTTTTCCTCTGACATGAACAAAACCATCAATTTACATATTAATTATCTGCTCAGGTTTTTATTAGATGGTACTCAACACCTGTCACACACACACACACACACACACACACACACACACACACACACACACACACACACACACACACACACACACACACACACACACACACACACACACACACACACACACACACACACACACACACACACACACACACACACACACACACACACACTCCATCCTTGACAACCGGAGGGTCAAGATCTATTCAGGCGCTGCTCCTGCTGAGCAGCGCCCTTTCTTGGCCATGTTCGGCCATTCCTTAAGTCCCTCTCCCCGACGCAACCTCACAATCAGGATATCAACATAATCAAAAGTGACAATTTTATTTCGGAAAGAAGTGGGATCAGTGTTGAATAGTAATGAACAGTGTTTAAGCCAGTGAATTCAGTACTACACAGTACCAGTGAGAGCCGTGACCCACCACTGAGATAAGCACCTATGGGAACCATCCTCTAACCAGACGGTGATAATACGTCCACCCTGGGAACAACAGAGGGTCGACTATGAACATGACTACGAGATAACACAACACCACCGAGCAGAGAGGTACTGTGACACCACCCCACACCACAAGGTGTCTCCATGACCACGTGAGGTGCTTCATATGAACACCCGAGGACGAGTCACTGCACCACGTGAAAACCACACCACCTGGTGTCCCCATGACCACGTGAGGTCCTTTACATCAACACCCGAGGACGAGTTACTACACCACGTGAACACCACACCACCTTGTGTCTCAATGACCGGTCCAAGCCCGGGCCATCAACTGTAAACTATAATCATTTGTATGCTCAATTCATGTTCCTTCTTCTTTCAGTAATGAAAGCTTTTGTTAAACGTCCCACCTAGCCCATGTCTTTGTATGTAATAATACATTTTTGTCCAATGTATATTTTGAGCATTCAGGCTGCAGAATGTTTTCAATAAACCGTTAATTATTATTATTATTACACACACACACACACACACACACACACACACACACACACACATGCGCCATTTCTCTTACTATGTGTGTATACAATCGTAGCCACGTATATTGGTCACACACACATGCGCCATTTCTCTTACTATGTGTGTATACAATCGTAGCCACGTATATTGGTCCAAGTTTGGTGTAAAAAACCTGCGGCAAGGCGTGTAAAACTGTGGCAGGGGGTGTAAAACTGTGGCAGGGGGTGTAAAACTGTGGCAGGGGGTGTAAAAATGTGCAGGTGTAAAAACTGTGGCAGGGTGTAAAAATGTGCAGGGGCGTGTAAAACTGTGGCAGGCGTAAAACTGTGTCAGGGCGTAAAAATTGTGGTAGGGCGCGTAAAACTGTGACAGGGCGTGTAAAACTGTGGATGGCGTGTAAAACCGCAGCACGTCGTAAAACCGTGGCAGGGCGTGTAAAACTGTGGCAGAGCGTGTAAAACCGTGACAGGGCGTAAAACTGTGGTGGCAGGAAGTGTAAACTGTGACAGGGCGTGTAAAACTGCGAGCGTGTAAACTGTGGCAGGGCGTGTAAACTGTGACAGGGCGTAAAACTGTGACAGGGCGAGTAAAACCGTGGCAGGGCGGCAAACTGGTGACAGGGCGTGTAAAACCGTAGCACGTCGCAAAAACTGTGGCAGGGCGTGTAAACCGTAGCAGGGCGTAAAACCAGCGCAGGGCGTGTAAACTGTGACAGGGCGTAAAACTGTGACAGGGCGTGTAAACTGTGGCAGGGCGTAAAACTCGACAGGGCGTGTAAAACTGTGGCAGGGCGGTAAAACTGTGGCAAGGCGTGTAAAACGACAGGGCGAGTAAAACTGTGGCAGGGCGTAAAACTGTGACAGGGCGTAAAACCGTAGCACGTCGTAAAACCGTGGCAGGGCGTGTAAACTGTAGCAGGGCGTGTAAAACCGTGACAGGGCGTGTAAACCGTGACAGGCGTGTAAAACTGTGACAGGGCGTGCAAACTGTGGCAGGAAGCGTGTAAAACTGTAACAGGGAGTGTAAAACTGTGACAGGGCGTGTAAACTGTGGCAGGGCGAGTAAAACTGTGGCAGGGCGAGTAAAACTGTGGCAAGGCGTGTAAAACTGTGGCAGGGCGTGTAAAGTTACTTAGGTAACATGTCACCCACGCCTCCATTACCTACCGGGCGTGTTAGCGGCTACAAACTGCCAAGCTACGTTTATACTGTAAACTGATGGCTCGCTCGCTCTCTCTTACTCTCTCTCTCTCTCCGTTGCTCCACAGAACACTTACTGACATAAAGGATATAATCATTGTAATTTCACATATATACTGTATATATATATATATATATATATATATATATATATATATATATATATATATATATATATATATATATATATATATATATATATATATATATATATATATATATATATATATATGTATATATATATATATAAATATACATATATATATATATATATATATATATATATATATATATATATGTATATATATATATATATATATACACATATATATATATGTATATTTATATATATATATATATATATATATATATATATATATATATATATATATATATATATAACAAGTGAGTGGTAGGCGAGGATGAATGAGTGGTAGGTGAGGGCGAGTGGTAGGTGTGAGAAAAGTGGTTTATGAGGACGTGTGATTGGTAGATAATGACGAGTGAGTGATAGGTGAGGGCGAGTGATAGGCGAGGACGAGTGATTGGCGAGGACGAGTGGTAGGTGTGAGAAAAGTGGTTTATGAGGACGAGTGATTGGTAGATAATGACAAGTGAGTGATAGGTGAGGGCGAGTGAGTGGTAGGTAAGAACAAGTGAGTGGTAGGTGAGGGCGAGTTTAGTGGAAGTTGAGGACAAGTGAGTGGCAGGCAATGGCGAGTGGTATGTAAAGGCGAGTGAGTTTTAGGTGAAGGCGAGTGATTAGTAACTACGAGTGAGTGGTAGGTAAGGGCGAGCGAGTGATAACGTAAAGGCGAGTGAGTAGCAAGTGAGGCCAAGTGAGTGGTAGGTGTGTACTCGTGAGTTGTAGGTGAAGAGGAGTGAGTGGTAGGTGAGGGCGGGTGAGTGGTACTTGAAGACGAGTGAGTGGTATATGAAGGCGAGTGAGTAGTAGGCAAGGACGAGTGAGTGGTAAGTGAGGACCAGTTAGTGGTAGGTGAGGGCGAGTGAATGGTACTTGGAGACGGGTGAGTGGTATATGAGGGCGAGTGAGTGGAAGGCGAAGACAAGTGAGTGGTAAGTGAGGACCAGTTAGTGGTAGGTGAGGGCGAGTGAATGGTAGGTGAGGGCGAGTGAATGGTAGATGATGGCCAGTGAGTGGTAGATGAAGACGAGTGAGTGGTAGGTGAGGACCAGTGAGTGGTAGGTGAGGGCGAGTGAGTGGTAGGTGAGGACAAAGAACCAGGGATATGTGTTTGTGATGCTTTAAAAAATTCCAAGGCCACTCTGGGGAATGTAATAACCGGAGTCTAATGATTTACTCGATGGTCGTGAGAGAGAGAGAGAGAGAGAGAGAGAGAGAGAGAGAGAGAGAGAAAATCGAGCATGAATTGTGGCGACGTAATATATGAATACAATTACATAATCAATCACGTGTTTATTGCGGTTCATATCGATATGACAGATGACACCGGGTGATTTTCGGTGTCATTAGACATAATTGTTGTTTGTTATCACCAATGAATTTGCAAAATGAAACTAAGCATAAAATTTTACTGATTTTTAGGCATTTTAAAGCTTGACGGGCAAAGGCGTTCATTGTGGCCGTAAAGATGAATGAGAATGGGATAAAATTAAGCGTTCTTAGGTCATATATATATAATAGACAGAGAGAGAGAGAATAGACCAAACGCTACATAAACAACAAACCAGGAAGGAATTAAGAAAAACGTA